AACCAGGCATGCTAGCTGAAAGAACTACGGTGGGGATCCACACTGCTGCTTGTTTCAGCACTTCTCAGGCCTGCTATGGTCTGGAAAATATACTTCTGGGATATAAAAAATATACTTCTAGGATGTACAAAAAAAAAGTTAAATATATTTTCCAGGCTATTGATGGAGTCACATCTGCACATCAACATGCCTTTTTTCCCCCTTGATGTCTGGCATCCGATCAGCGTTACTTATCAAGGATTAAAGACAATGTAAATTACCAAGTGCTTTTTGCTCCATCAGAAAAGCCCCCAAATGTTTGAAGAGTATCAGGCACAAGATGGAAGGTAATTTGAATAAATATTAGCCGTGTTTTAATGGAGATGTAGAGATTTGCCAGCAACCAACACAATCTTCACTCCACCTCTGCCAACCAGGAACAGAATGTCATCACCCAAGGGACAAGAACAACAGGATCAGACACACAAGCAGAAAAATCCAGGCTTTATACAACCACCAGAGACTGCTTATAACAGCAGTATATATGTAACATATGCATTAGAGTGAGAGATGCAGAAAGCTACACATGCAGAGTTTTCTTCCCCTTGTTCTTACAGACAAATGAAAACACTTGATTTGAAGTTTCAAAAAACTTACTCAGCAGGAAAACTAGGCTATTTGCTTTTATGTGCAGAAATGGAGGTGTGACACCACTTTTCAGCCAGATCAGTTTCTAAATACAGCTCAATATAGAGCCAGACGAGTTTTAGTACTAAAGCAAGAGAACAAGCAAAAGCTCATTTAATTGCAGTCTTTTCAGGAAGAATATGCTTGCTCTCTTCCGCAGTGCAGAACTACAGCTTTGGAAAGTGTTACGGTTTTTACTGAAATTCTGCCAACCAGAGAAAACACACTGGAAGCTACCAGACCAGTTGCTGCCATGGAACAAAGCATCTTGAATGTGTTCTTCACAAGTTCAGGTTTCCACTGATCCACTTGTCTCTTCAATTTCTAATTGCAGGAGTGTAACTTTTTAATCTCTTTTATGTAATTTTCTTTCTGGCACCACTTGATGAACTGTAATGCATGCCTCTTCAGGTCACAGCACATACAGGGTTAACACTCTTGCTAACCGAGTGAGAAAACACTGCAGAATACCAATCTATTTTATTTGAAGTCTGTGTTAACTTGTGTTTGAGCTACAGTGAAGGTGAGAAGCACACAGAGAGGCAGGACCTCTGAGGCTCTGAAAACTCTGTGCTGATACCAGAGGACTGAATAAGCATAAGTGCAAGTGCACAAGATGCTTCTGTCACACCCACACATACACAGGAGAGCACTTCAAAAACACCAACATGAGCATCAGTGAAACACACAGCCACAGACAGGATTCTGATCTACAATAGTACCAACAATGTGTCAAAGCTTGTCATGCAGGTGCACTAAAGGGTGGAAGATGTCGAGTTCAGAGTACCAGGACACAGTGCAGATCCCACTACCTTTGCTCTCTTCCCATGCTAGATCTCATTTCAGTCCCTTAAGCAGACAGACAATGTGGGCTTCAGCTGCCTCCAAAGCCTCTCTCTACAGCAGTGTCTGGGGGATGCCAATACTCCATTCTCACTGCCTGCCAAAATGTGAGCTGCTCCCAGAACATAAATAAATAAGTCACTGAATTGCAGTGACCCCACAGTTCTCTTCTGTTCCCATGCTGATGAAAACTAGCAGACTGTTGCAGGGACGTAATGATTTTGCATTATAAGAATATAATGATGCATCACAAATGGTCAGCAGCAGGACCTAAAAATGAACACTAAGGAAGAACAGAAAGGGACAGGTTGCCTATGCTGAAGCCTGTTTATTTACTTTTGTCTTCCAACCTCACTGACCGCAGAACACCAAAAGCCATTTTGAGCACTGTGAGATAGAGCAGATAAATGCCTGATGACAAGTTCAGCAAAGTAGAATTTGTACCACAAGCTGATTTCACTACTTGGACAGGACAAAAAAAAGTATGAACAAGCACTGTTAGCATGTTTAAAATGTACTTGCTATATGTTGAAGACTGAAAATGTACCATAAAGACCATTTAGAAAATCAAGGCAGTAGGTATGGCAAATATAAACCAACTGCATTTACAATTTTAACACAAACTCTCAGAGGCCTCAGCCTGATGCAACTTCAGACAAGAAAGGCAGCGAGAACAAAAAAATCAATCTGAAAGACACAGTTCTGTGTAGAAACCATATGAAGTAAACTAATTTGAAATACACTGGTGTTTAATCAAATTCTGCCCTCTCACCCTATCAAAGTTAGAGTAGCACTCTCATCAGAAGATTCTAAAAGCACTTCTAGAGAAGCAGGTAGTGGAGTGAGTAATTAATGACTACCTCCCTCCAGATCAATGAACAGTGACAGACTGATCATGACACACAGTACAGTCACAACAGCTGCAGCAGACAGAAAACGCTTTGTACAAAAGCTGCAATCAGGATAGTTTAGAGCTGCCAAAGAAAAAGTTAACATACAACTAAGACTTTCACACACAGGCACTTCATTAACCTTTGCTTTTCATGCTATGCACCCCTGAGTAACAAGTATGTGAAACTTTGTTTTAGAAGGCTTGTCTACCTTACTGTAAATGTAAAGGGCTCCCAAAGACAGCACAGCAGTTACTAAAATGTTTAGGTGAGTACTGCCATCTTGAAAAACACAACCAGGTCTGTGATTAAAGCCCTAAGCATGATGGCATCCACTTGCTTCCCTGTCAGAAGAACTGGATACTAAGCCTGTCACTCTCAGAAGCAGAGCTTCAAAACAGATAAATCATAATTCACAGCTACTGGCACAAGTCTAACTTTTCTGCCAATCAATGTGTTTTAGATGCTGCAACTCATACACCAGTCTGAAAGGTTTCCAAGGCAGACAACTAAATACTCCTGTAGGTTAGTGTATCACTGAGCAATGGGCCTTCTAGCATAGTTTAAACAAACAAACTGTACTAACAGACTGTCCATTAATTAAAGCTGACGCTTCCTTGCCCATCAGGCAACAGCATTCAGGAGCCATCACATAACGAAACCATTGTTAGTCAGTCTCTTACATATTCAACTGGAGAACAAAAGGTGACTGTTGTACAGTCAACAAGGACTTGAACTACTGCAGGTAGCTCCACTTCTCATCTCTCAACAAACGCAACAGTGAAAAGAAAGATTATGAACTGAAAGAAGAGGCAAAAAGTCTTAGTAAAAATAAAACAAGTTTCTCCAAAGTTTCCTCCTACCGTTTTTCACTAAACAGCACCTTTTCATAACAGCCAGCAGACTTTAAGTACATCATACAACTTAACTACTGCTATTAGCTAGAAAAGATAGCACAAAACCCCTCCTCAGCAAGGACAGTTTATTCCTTCCTTCCATTCTCCTTGGTCACCACGTTGAGTGCTCCTTTGAAACTTTTCAAATCTATGAAAAAAATACAACATTTTGACACTTGAGTATGAGACAAACATCTAAAAAAAAAAATCAGATATTCACTTCTTCCAAAACATTTGTGATATGACAGTTACTCCTCAGTAAAACTACAGAAGCATAAGAAATTGCAAAACACTGTAAGGAAACGGTAATGAGAAAATTCCTTCCATAAAGGAAGTGAGAAGGATTTTGAGCTTCTGGTGGTGTTCCATTAATATGTATAACACATTTAAAAACAGAAATAAATTGTCTCAATGTTGTTTCGAAATTGTGATGTTTGATCACACTAACTACAAGCAGCAATCACAGGTGACACAATGTGAGGACCAACTGAAAACAGCAGAATAAATACCTTCATCCCAATTTTCATCAGAAAAAAAAAATTATGAAAGAGCATATGAATCTTCAGAAACAGCCAAAGAAAGAAATTCCACAATAAAATGAAACAGCAGGCTGAGACAAGTAAAGGGTCTCTAATGGTAGTGATTTATTCTATCACAGCCTGTTAGTGTCAGGTTATGTAATGAACCCACATGATTTAGAAATTCGCATAGAGAGATAATGTTTTTCAATTAGCAAAATGGATCTGAGTTGGCTGATGTCAAGTGCCTGTAAGTGATAATCTCATGAAAATGACAGATGAACACCTTAAACAAAGTCTCAAAATCCACTACTTTTTATGACTAAGTTTAAGAAGACATGCCTTAATGCCATCTTCAAAATCAACCAAAAGAAACTAGATATAAGCTGTAATTCTCCCAGTTACCAACACTTCTCATGTTTTTAAATACCTCTGCTTCTGCACTAGGATGAAACAAGGCATGAAGTCGAGGCACAAAAGTCAGTAACACAGTGCTGTGAATTAGACCAGGTGAAGCCTGTAAGAAATGAAACAAACTCATAATAAATAATACATGACAAGCATTCACAGAAGGGAATATATGGATAGGAAAACAACCACGGAGCTAGCAGAGCCAAAGCTGCCACTGAAAACTGGTTTGCCCTTCCGTGTAACGAAGGCTGCTAAACCTGTCCAAAAGTCAGCTGAAGTTAAAATCTGAAAAATTAAAATCTTTCTCCTAGAAAAGCACTTCGCAATACACAGCCTCCTGCAGTTCCCAACATACAGCAGTGGTAGAATCCACTGCTACTTTTCTTTTATGGAAGTGTGCTTTATTACTGCTCTGAAATACCTGCTTTCAGTTTCAAAACACTGTGGTCTTACATAATTTACTCTAAGGAGTCAGCTAAATTTTTCTTCCTCATCATTTGTATTTATCCATTTATGCCCATTACGTTTTCTTTGACAAGTCACACAGGCAGTGTTTCTTGAATTTATCTCACTGCAAACATTTTCTAGTACTTAACCCTGCACAACTCAGATAATATCCTGTACTCCCTCACAGGCAAAACAGATAATGGAAGAAGACTAAACCAAGCTTTAGTGAGTTCCACTAAACTGATATGCATTACAAGCAGCACATACTAAAAACATATATGGAATCTGCTCACAATCACCAAGACATTACAATAAATCTCCAAACTTACAAATGAATCCTTCCAAGTGTCTTTTAAAACTCTTTTTTGAGACATTCAGACAATGTCTGTCCAAAACCCCCTGTTTTCAAAGCAACCAGGTTGAGAGCCAAAAGTCAGGACGGAGACCAGCAGCCTCTGGGGGTTGTCAGCACTGGAATCCTCAGATGTCAATTTAGGTAGCTGGAGACTTACTGAAAAGAGAAGCCCACAGCAAACTTTTACTTTCCAGAATCTATAAAACACAGATACTCTTTACAACATAAAGGGCATAGGTAAAGCCATTTCTTGGGGCTTGTTTTGGGGGTTTTTTGTTGCTTTCTTTCTTCTTATAACAGTTACTTCTCAGTACACCAAGATCTTTCATTAAGTTGCACAACTTCAGTCAGCTCAGCACAGTTCCTAAGGTTAATAAACAAAAAGTTCTGCACTCCTTTTCCACTGCAGCTACATCACTTCATGGGGGTAGAGGAGGTAGGTCAGGTAGAAATCCTTCTAACCAAGAAATGAGCAGACATAAGTTACTAGAGCACAACAGATCTGTCTCGTGATACAACTTTGGCCATGCCATGAACACATGTACTTCTCTTCAATCCCAGTCCAATTCTTAAATTGCTAGAGAAGACGCAAAAATCCCCTCCATCCTCTTATGCCCATCAACTAAGACCTACACAAAAATTTGCAAGAGGAAAGGAAACATATGGGATTATAAAAACAACTATTTTGACTTACTTCCTTCTTCCCCCTTCATTCACTACAAGCCAACAAACCACTTGCTTACACCTTTTAGCAGAAATCACTCAGCTTAATCTGAATTTATCTTCTTCAGGCAATGAGAATCCCAGTATCTTTCTCTGAAATAAGCTTAAACTTAGATGAAAGAAAGGAATTTCAGGGTGGGAAGCAGCAAGGGGAGGGCCACCCAGCTACAACACCAGGAAAGATGAGTTCCCTCACACTATAATGCTCAGCGCTGCACATGTCCCACAACACAGCTTTGCTTCCCCATGTCCTGCAGCCAGTCTGGCCACCACTGCATCTGGCTCCTGTCCCAGGGCACTCAGACGTGAGTGCCCTGCTCAACCACACAGAGGAAAACAATGGGGAAAAGCAAGGCCAGATAAAGGATCCCATGTTTTCCACTAGCTGACTTTCTGGTGTAGGGGCCTTTTTTTTTTTTTCCCAGAATTTGACTTATATGGGAAGTAACTGATGTCATCTTAGTTCTAGGGCACCAGAAGAGCAGTGACCATGGGAATTGTAAAGTAGTGGCTACCTCATCTGCTCCAAAAAGCTTCTCAACAGGCAAAAATACTTTAAAAATTGATACCTACAGAATTGAGAAGATTACAGAGAAAAGCTCAGCAACACCAAAACAGGAAAAGAAGAAAAAAAACCCAAACAATCCAATACTGTGTTTTAGTGAGCCCTGGAAATTGTAGAAACCTGGTGATCCAGATTGTATCAGTTAGCACTCAGACAAAACAGATGAGTTTGGACAAAGAATAGTCCCAGATTACACATTAGAAAACCTTACTAACAGCATCACTACCCAGAAGGGACACAGGCCAACCCTCACAATAGGCCCTGCTGTCATCATCAAACACAAATACCCTAGAAAGGCATCTTACCTGTTAAACCTGCCATTTTTGCTGAATCCAATTTCTACAGATACAAAGAGGTGATTCACAGTTCTTTACCAACATTAAATGGGACATGGAGCCGGTGTGGCAGGCCCAGTTCCACCTCCCGGGGCCAGCAAAGCAAGCCGTGTGCCAGAGGGCTTTGGTTTGCTCTCCCTCTGGTGCTGGATCAGAAGCCAGTGTGGAGCCGTATGCTCACAAACCACCATTTCAACTGTCTGCAATGTAAACCAAACCATGCTGCACAGCACTATTCCCCAAAAACCACAGGGAAGGTAAGAGATGGAGGATGCACATTCCAGAGTCCCAGAGCCTGCGCTCTCTGGCAGGCACAGGGGGCAGGGAGGGAGCAGACAGGGACACACCTGGGCAAGAAGCTGACAGAGGCAGTGATCACCATGGAATACAGCAAGTGTAAAAACCTGGTGAGAGGCATAAATTACTAGAGACAGGCCATTTTTGTAGCGCTGCTGAAAGGAGCTGCAGCATTGCAACTTTCTCAACCACTAACTGAGGGCAAAGCAAAACAAAGTGCTTCCCACTCATCCTTCAGAACGGGCTCCTCCTGGCCCATTCAGCTCCAGGAGCCCTTCCCAAAGTCTGGTGCTGGACAGGGATGGCTCTCCTGTCACACTACCTGAAAGCAAGGAAGAGCATGGCAGCTGCTCGTCCTTTTCCCCTACCCTTGCTCCATGCCTACAAGAAGGGCATAAAGGCCTCAGAGGACAGCCCTGCTGACACCAGGGCTGATCTTGCTAGGCCAGACTCCACGTACTTACAACAAAGGAGTAACTAAAAAGTTAACAACAAGATATTCAAAATAAGAGTTGCTGTAAAACACAAGAAAGGCAAACTCCACATCTAATTTAGAAAGAAAATTAACTCTGCACTCCTAACAATCTTCAGATGCCATAAACTTGAAGAGCCTACCACCCTAGCAGTAAGTATTCCCCCTTAATGGATGCCCAGTGATGTTTCTGTTTGGTGAAGAGTTTGGCTCAGAGCCTTCCTGGATCCCTATCACATCTCACATTCCAAATCAGCCTTTGGCTGCTCCAGAAGACTCTGGTCACACCAAGCCAGCAGCTGCTGGCCAACACTGCTGCTACAGCCAGAGGGCCCCCATACAACAGACACTGAAATACCTTGCAGAAAAAGGAAGGAAGTCTACAGCTATCATCTACCATTAAGACTCTAAGACACAACATCAGACAGGTTTATTATTTTTAAAAAAGCCTTTGTTCAATGTTAAACCACACAACTGATTTATCAGACCTTTAAAAGGCATCTTCCATGCTGAAAAACATTAGCTGATCCGTTTGTTTCACATTATGGATTAACCTTCTTTTCCTAAGGCAAAAAGACAACTTTCATCAGTTCACATGTTATACCCTGAAACTCTTACCCAAGTTTTCCACCAAGAACTTGTCAAATGATCTGTATTTTAACTAGACGTTAAAAAAAATCCCCAGCACTAAACTCGACTAAACTTCCACCTATTTCTTGCTTTGAAGAAACTCTGCTGACACGCAGTTTTCCAACCCACGAGCACCATACCAGCCTCGTAAAAGGAGGAAATACCTTTTCCATGCCTAAACCCTATAGTTTATCCATAGTCAAATGTGTTATCTGAAAGAAATGCAGTTGAAACAACAAGGAAAATTAGAAAAGTTTAAAGTTCTAGATAAACACACAAAGCATAACAAAGTACTTTTTTTTTTTTTCTCCAGGCACTCCTCAGCAAATAGACTGAAGATTCATCATGTCTACAGCAACCATTCTTTCAGGAAGATGATTAAAAAGAAGCTGCACACCATAATGTCCCAATGATGTAAGTTTTGATACAGAAATATTTTTGCATACTTAGAAATTTAAACATCAAATCAAGGAGCAAATTAAGAGCTGTCATTAAACAGCTGTGTTTTCCAACACACTTTTCTTAGAATTTTTCCACCATTCAAAAGCAAATACTGCCATAAAAGATTAACCACATGCTATGTTTATGTACTGTGTGATTCGCTGCAAAGTGAATCAAACTACAGAAAGTCAGTTTCTAAATTAAACAAAAACTACTGGTTTCAGCCTTCTCACCTATTAAGCAGTCTGCTGTTAAGACAACTGGACCAGCAAACTTCATGGCAACTGTCACATACGAGTGAGTTCAAGTGAACCAGTTTTGTAGGAAAACATTGTCTACAGCCTGAGAAGCCATTATTAAAAAAAGACTCAACATTAAAATCAGCAACTTGCTCAACATAATTAAAAATATAATTTGGAAGCAGTGTATTATATCTTATGGAAACTACTTAAGCAGAATGCAAACTGTGAAAAAGCGCCAACCACTGACAATAACAAAAATGCAGAAAACATCTCCCCATTCATTAGCAGCCAAGTAATTAATCACAATGAGCTGGTCAGTGCTGGAAAGTGTTCCCAAAAGCCTGCAAAGCCAGATTACACCAGCCTTCCATACTTTAAAGAAAGCCCTACCTCTACATTGAAGGTATGGGCTTAAACTAAGCCCACAAAACAAGACGTCACCTATTGGGAGTGAACCACATGGTAAAAATCTGTGCCTGCACAAACAAGATCAACTACTAACTCGAATTAAAATCAAAGAGGAAAAAAAATGCAGCAGCTCTAAGAAACTGTCAGCTGGTAACATTAGAATGCCAAATGGTCTTATTAAACTGACCCATAGCAGAAATCAAGGCACAGAGAGCACTGAGACATGAGGAAAAGACATCAGCATCAGAAGAAGAGGACATTGTGGAAAAGGTCACCAACACTCCATCTTCTGCAATTCCATCCTAAAACCTGGGGGGAGAAACAGCCTGACAACCCATCATCACAGAGATCATAATCTCTTGCTTCTGGAAGAGGCGTGGAATTAAAATAATTCCCTCCTTTGGGAGCTGCCAATGAACATGACATACAACTCCACACTAAATAATAAATGAAAGCCAACACTTATGCAATATTTTTGTCAGCTGAAAGAAACTGTCACTTCAGTCAAGTCAGATGCACCCTTAATTTGCTGATGCCCCTTTTCACGCTCCACCTCACCAAAGCACCACGGTTTCACCAATACTCCTCTCACTGGCAAAACCAGCTGAGGCAGCTCCTGGCCCCGCAGCAGTGCTGCTTTGTCACTGGTGCGGACACACCATCAGCAAGCAGCACGCATGTGCTGCAGCATCAGGCTTCCAAACAGCAGCACGACCACTTCTGAGGAACCTGCATGGGAGCAAGGAGAAGGAGTGGGAACTGGCAGAAGTAGCTCCAACTGGCTTTTCTGGCATATGCAATGGTAGTGGAGCACCAGCACTGAGAGGCACAAGTCTCCATGGATGCCATGACCATGGGAAACACATAAAGCACTATTAATGCTGCTATAGTTGAGTTGATCTTAATGAGCAAGTGGCGACATTAGATATTTGCATATGTATTCATAATAAAGAGTTTTACTGTGCAATTTTCAGGCTACATTAAAACAATAAATATAATCATGGAGGAGAAAGAGGCAACTTTGGTT